GTGAGGGGTCTGTAGATATTTTCCCAGCCTCTTTTTGACTCATGCAGTTTGCAGGTCCTCAATGGAAGGCATGTTGGTAGCCACTGTTTTTTCTGCAGTTCTAATTATCCTCTGAAGTCTGTGTCTGTCTTGGGTTGCAGAGCCAAACCAGACAGTTATGGAGGTGCAGAGGGGCAGATGACAGACTCTATAATTCCTCTGCAGAGAATTATATATTAATTATAATTATAGGTATTATATATCAATTATAATTATAATTAAACTGTAAACACCAGTTTCCAGCAAAAAATAACAAGTCGCAGTAACAGGGCTGCAGGATGCTGCAACCAGCTGTAAATATGGGCCATTTCCTGGATGTTCAAAATGCAATACATCAGCATAAGGCGGTCCAGCTATTAGAGCTTTTTATCCAGGTCATAAATATTTTGGGGAGTGGGGTGGGTGTTGTAATTTCAAAGGGTCGCTAAGCAACGAATTGTAAACAAAGGATTACCTGCAATTCAGCATTCTATGTACGCAAAAAGCTTGCAGCATTGCATTATCAACATAGCTGATGAACCTTCTGTGTTGTAATTTCTTGGAGTAATTTAATTGGAGTAATTTAAAAATGAAAACACTGGTTTGTTACTTTGTTTGTTTTTTAAGGCAAAAGATTTTTGCTCTGTTCTTCTGCAGGATTTTTATAGAATGGTAGATTAGACCCCTGAGAACTACAAGTATTCACCTGCTGGCAGAATATAAATGTATAATGTTTGTATAATAGCTAGCTGGCTTCTAATGTGAAAAGCAGGTGTCTGCTGGCTCTTTTTTTTCATGGATCCAGTTTTATACGTTTACCATCTGTGTGGGGTTTTCAGCATTCTGAATTCCACTTTTCATGCAGTCACAAACGCAGCAGATTTGCCAATGTCATGATCCAATGTTGTCAGGATTTCACTATTATTGATAGCTTATTCTTGGTACTAGGAAGCCACAAGGTTGTGTCTAATCACATGCATTGACTTCCAGAAATTTGTTGTATTTTATAAACAACTGTATAGTTCAATTTACTAAAATTGGAGACAATCACACTTTGGAGAGATAATCCGTGCATGATCTTCTCACAATTCTGCAAATGAGTGTTAGGGTTTTTGCGCATAGGGGCTTAATCTTAAAATAGTGAGGAGAAACAACTGTAATAGACTACTATGTCACCAGACTATTCCAGAATCCTTGCTTACAACAGTAAAACAGAAAAAAAAATCTACAATAAAATAGAAACAACACCAAGCCATTAAACGCACCCGCTCCTCATTTCTAAATGCCTTCTGAAGAATTCAGTTTTTACCAACTTTGAAAAGGCAACAAAGCAAGACCACTGTTTCCTGACTTCAGCTCTCTCCCACGTCACAAAAATGAAGGTTGTTGTTGTTGTTGATGGTGTGTGTGTGTGTGTGTGTGTGTGTGTGTGTGTATAAGAGAGAGTGGGAGGGGGGAAAGAGAATGGGTGGGAGGAGGGAAAGAGAGAGAGGGAAGGAAAGAGGGAGGGAAAGAAACACACACAGAGAGAGAAAGCAAATCACTTCTCCAAGTGTCTCTT